TGTTTAATAAGGATTTGTGTATTAAGTTTCAAGTGATCATGCGTATAGGTGTTAACAATGCCATGTTTGCTACATTCATGATAAATCAGGTCATTAAGGAAAATAACTGAATTTTAAGTACAAAATTATACCTTTTTTTGAAAAAAACACCAATATTTTGATTTCTGTGACTCTAAAGGAAACAAATGATAAATCTGCAAAGGTAGAGAAGTTTTATGAAGATCATAGGCAAGGTTAAAATGGAGGACTATTACACACTGTCCCAATGCAATGCACCTATGGGACATTGTTGAAGACCAACATATCTAGTACCAAGCAGGCATACTTGTTATATGGAGGTGATCTGGACAAGTCAATACACCATATGATGCTTTCAACTCTTAACTGAAATATGGACCTCCAGAAACATACAGGGGAGAAAGTATTTATTAGAACAGGAAGTTTTAGAGCATGCCTACACTAATACCATAATTTTGATATTTTTTTTTTTGTCGTGTCAGGAGCATCCTGTTGTGAGAGAATTGGCCGTCTGCAAGGATGTTGCCCAGGGGACGCCCGGATGATTTTGATGTTTTATCATCCTTGTGGGAGGCTTCTCTCATGTCCCCGCATGAGGAGCTGGAGCTGATAGAGGGAGCTCATCCGCCTCTCCCTGGATTCGAACCTGCGACCTGTCCGTCTTCAGTCCTGCTGGCACAGGGCTTTAACCCACTGCGCCACTGGGGGCTCCTATTTTGAACATTACTGAATGCAGAAAGATATACTGTATTTCATCACATAATAGTCACCATCACATAATAGTCGCACCCCCCTTTTCGGGGTTCTAATTTCTGTGTTTCACAATTCCTAGTTGTACCCTTGATTTAGACTAGATAGACTAGGGTTCTCTTCCATTTCTTTGCCCATATGCTCACCTGCCCACTGTCCCACTGCTTCACTCTCTCACCCACATATCCGCTCAGCCACCCCCTTTGAAAACACCACTTCAAGCAAATGGATGGGCATGTGAGTGAGTGAGTGGGTTGGTGGGTGGGTGGTACTCAAAACGGGTGGTCGAGTGGGTGGATGGGAGAACTCAATTACCCACGCACTCATGCACTCACTCTGGTTAGCCACCCCTTTTAGGAATGCCATTTCAAGCACACAAACCCGCTCGTATACCCATCCATCCACTTGGTCCATCAACCTCCACGGTCATGTAGAATGATACAACCATGTTACAATTAAGAACTTGTTCAGTATCTTATCGGTTGACTAAATTCTGAGCCCTCTTTCAATCCTTAACCTTTCTCTCCATTTGCCAACAGAGAGGGCTTTTAATGTTTTATTGTTTTCCATTATGAGTGCCTCAAATCTAGTTTTATTTAATGCTTAAGCAGTAATAAATATGAGCAGGGAGGTTAAATCATAAAAGCCTTCTACAGTGTGCATTCTATGGCATTTGTGAAGTTAATACCTCTCCCTAAAGAGGCCCACAGCTGTTGATAGGTCAGAAACCCTGTAAAGCTTCAAAGCCTTTTGTACAGCCCTGGGGCTGACCTACTCAGTGATCTGCACGTTATTTTCATCTAGCTGCACTAAGGCCAAGGCTGAACTTTGAAAGGTTCTGCCTTCCTGCCAGCAATACTTGCACCATATATTTCCACCTGAACAGACATATAGTTCTAATAAAACAGAGGCAGTCAATCCAGGTACCATTTGTTAGTTTATTTTAAGTCTGCCTACATTTATTTATGGTAATTATGCAGATTTTTCTCTACCTTCATGCAATTCAGAACATCTTCCATTAGGCAATTTCCCATCAACATTGTGCCTTCATGACCAGTTCCTGAACTTAAGCAGTGCAGCACAATAGTAAACCTACAAATATGCTCCAATTATTTCCTGCCTTTCATCTTATTAGCCAGAGGGGTGAAGAAGCAATCTGCAAACATGTGCAGAGATAGAATTACCACATAAAAAGATGCATAAGCCAACAGTATTTCATGGAGAAACTGAAACATGTTTGCCTACCTGCCTGAATTCCAGCCAGATTTAGATTGTAGTTGTAAACACAATTATCATTTAGTTTGCTCTTTACACAGGGCTTACTCCAGAACAAAAAAACACAGAGAAACTCCCTTCTGCATGAAAGTGAGAAGTTCTACAAGTTACTCACCCATAAATAGGGGATGCCAACGTTTTCCCTATGTTATGTAATCCCCTATGTAATGCTATGTTATGCTATGTTAGCATTAATCAGTGTGAAACCTGATCCAAATATCATTTCCTACTAACTAAACTTTACAGAAAAATAGGAAAAATGAAAGGAAAGGGGATCAAACAAAAAAGTTACAATATAATATATTCTAAACTCTGCCAGTTGGTTGCCAAAGAATCATAGTCCCAACTCAATAACAACGTGACTGGACGACGTGGCTGGATAATGACTGGTAATGAAATGCGGAGGACTTACAGTTTTTATTGTGTTACTGATGTTAATTGTAATTAATTTTTTACCCGTGTTAAATGTTTTTAATGTCTTTTGTACTGTTGTGGGCATCGAATTGTGCCGTTTTGTAAACTGCCATGAGTTGCCCTCAGGCTGAGAATGGTGGTATAGAAGCATAGTAAATAAATAAATAAATATAGCAGTCCCACAAAAGAATCTTTCATTCTCATCAAGCATAGTTTTCAACATATTCCATGGCTGCACAGTCACCATTCACTGCCATGGAGTTTGCCTGGGTCTCTCACATGCACCACAGTTTTTAAAAGGCAACAGTTTTGTGGCATTAGTGGTTGCCTGATTTGCAACAAATATTATCATGCCAACAAAGAGGTTCTTTAGCATACACAATTGTATGCTCCTACTGTTTATCCACTTTGGATCTGTTAAGGAGTTCTTATACATATCCTTAAAATAAATCAGTGGTTCCCAACATTTTTCTCACCAGGGACCACTTTGACCAGGGACCACTTGAACAGGGATACTAGTACTAAAAGGGCTACAAATCGATTTTTGGTCAGCTTTAGATTTGGTTTGGTTATTTAGGGTACTGATTCAGAAAATTGCATTGGATAGACCACATCAACTCTAGTTTCCGATACAGAATCTATGGCCATCCAGTAGTCGCCATCTGCTTGCCCACAGAAAACCATATTTAATAATCTTAGAGCTGATGTAGTAGTAGTAATCTTTCTTGGGTAGTCAACCTCTCCCAGTCGCTCTTGTTGCCGTGTTGTTTTGAGGCAACAGTGTAGTAATGGTGAGGTCATGGAGCATATTTTCGTTCTTGCGGACCACTGGTGGGGTTGCCTTTGAAGACTGCACGGAAGCTTCAAATAGTCCAACGAGAGGCAGCCAGGTTAATAATTGGGGTGGCATACAGGGAGCATACAACTCCCATGTTACTCCAGCTCCACTGGCTGCCAGTTTGCTACCGGGCACAATTCAAAGTGCTGGCTTTGGCCTATAAAGCCCTAAACGGACCCGGCCCAAATTACCTGTCTGAACGCATCTCCCCCTATGTACCATCGCGGAGATTAAGATCCTCCGGGGAGGCCCTGCTTTCCGTCCCGCCATTGTCACAGGCATGATTGGTGGGGACAAGAGACAGGGCCTTCTCGGTGATTGCTCCCAGCTATGGAACTCCCTTCCTGGTGAGATCAGGTTGGCCCCCTCCCTCCTGTCCTTTAGAAGGATGGTAAAAACTTGGCTGTGGGACCAAGCTTTCGGGACAGGGCAATAAAGCGGCAATGGGAAAGATGACCAGGCCAATTAGATTTGATGCTGATGACTAGGACAGTTTTAAATGGTGTATTTTAATATTTTTATAAATGTTTTTTGAATGTTCATGTATGTGTATGTGAATTTGTGTCCAGGCATTGAATGTTTGCCGTGTATATGCTGTGCTCCACCCTGAGTCCCCTTCGGGGTGAGAAGAGCGGAATATAAATGTTTTAATGTTTATGCAAGTTTATGCAAGTACCTGGCATAAGTTTCTATTAATGAGGACAAATTTTCAAGTTGGTATTCATAATGGCAAGTGTAACAAAAACTGGCAGTGTGAAACTCACACCTCATTGCTACAGCTAAGCTAACCTTGTATGCCAGCCACTAACTAAATTCACAAAAACCTCACAATCATCCTAACTACAGATGATTGGAAAATATGCTGCCAATGTAGCTGTTGTGCAAGAAATGGGAACTAGTCAAGGGAAAGGAAAGGCATCATATTGAGTTGGCAGAAAGGTTAGAATCAGAGGTTCTTAGGAGACCAAGTGCTGAAATACTTAGTTTACGAATTACAGCAGGTGGAAGGAATGTGAGATTTTAAAATTTGTATAGGATCCAGGAGAGAGAGTGCAGTTGTTTCCTTCAAAGAATACATCCAGCATAGCACCGAGAGTTTAGAAATGTCCACATTTAGGTTTTGTCCTAAACTCAGAAAGGACCCTGAAACCTTCACCGAACTTTCTAATCTTCAACAAAAAGATATCACTGGCAAACTCCTACAAGATCATTGTCACAACTGGCCATGTGAGCAAAACATATCCAACACTATACAAACACTAGTCAAATAATATGACAGCAGCCTGCAGCATATGAATCATGGGAAAGTATGGGAGGGCAGCAGAAAAGTAGTAGAGTAAAAAAGAATAGGTAGGCAGAGGGAAAAAATCACTCACTACCAAGTGGAAGCAGAGAGAAGAGAACTCCATAAAAGAAAGGGTAAGATACAGATTTAGTCATACTCAGGAGGAAACTCACTGAAACCAATCAGTTCTTTTAGTTGTGGGTGGCATAATCCATTAATTAAAATGGGACTACTGTATAAATAACTAAATTCCAATTCAACCTGGAGCAAAGAGTTAAGTGGGGTGGGTAAACTTCACAAATTAATTTGAAATAGCCAAGTCTTTGGCTGCTGGCTTTAACGATTGATTGTATTTACCTAAGAACAAAAGTATTTGACGTGACAAAAGCAAAAAAGGTCTTAAGCGAGAGGAACTTTTACCAAAGCGTGGGTCAAGCCTTGGATCTAGCCAAGATGTAGTCTTGTTCTTATGGTTTATGTAGTAAATTTCTCCATCCTGGGTCATGGCTTGTTCCCATCCATCAGGGAGCGGGCCTGTAACACAGAAGGAAGCAATTCATAGTAGGCTCTGGTTTGCCCTTGCTAAAAAAAGTTAACTATTTTTTTTAAAGAAACCCAAAATAATTTATAGAGAACACAGCAAACATGAAACCAAGTTTCAATATATCTAGCAGCTCCGACAGTTTGGGGACAGAAAGAGCAGCTGTGTTATAGTAAAACAGTTGTTCACACATCTGGAGGGATAATGTTAAAGTACCTACTGCCTATATCTATTGTTTATCCTCAATTTGTTCTGCTCCAAGGGCTTAAGTTATTATCATTAAACAAGGAGGATATTATTTTGTTGCTCCCAAAATGCATAACCTGCTTGTTTGTAATCACCATTTAGAAGTGGCTGAACATTGCAGGAGTTCTAAAGGTGTACTACAGCGTTTCTCAACCCTGGGGGTCGGGACCCCTTGGGGGGTCATGAGGGGGTGTCAGAGGGGTTACCAAAGACCATTAGAAAACACAGTTATTTTCTTTTGGTCATGGGGATTCTGTGTGGGAAATTTGGCCCAATTCTATCATTGATGGGGTTCAGAAGGATCTTTGATGGTAGGTGAACTATTAATCCCAGCAACTACAACTCCCAAATGTCAAGGTCTATTTTCCCCAAACCCCACCAGTGTTCACATCTGGGCATATTGCGTATTCATGCCAAGTTTGGTCCAAATCCATCATTGTTTGAGTCCACAGTGTTCTCCGGATGTAGGTGAACTACAAATTCAAAACTCAAGGTCAATGCCCACCAAACCCTTCCAGTATTTTCTTTTGGTCATGAGAGTTTGGTGTGTCAAGTTTGTGCAATTCCATCATTGGTGGAGTTCAGAATGTTCTTTGATTGTAAGTGAACTATAAATCCCAGCATCTGTAACTCCCAAATGACAAAATTAATCCCCTCCAACCCCACCAATATTCAAATTTGGGTGTATCGGGTATTTGTGCCAAATTTGGTCCAGTGAATGAAAATACATCTTGCATATCAGATATTTACATGACGATTCGTAACAGTAGCAAAGTTACAGATATGGAGTAGCAACGAAAATAATTTTATGGTTGAGGGTCACCACAACATGAGGAACTGTATTAAGGGGTCGGGGCATTCGGAAGGTTGAGAACCACTGGTCTACTGCTAGTTCCTGCTTTCTCCCCCCTTAGAGTTTCTATGCTACTTGGCATATGTTGTAGTTTGTCTTTATGCAGTTTTGAGAACATAATAAGGAGGCCTCTGTCAAAATATTGGATTGTTATAAAGCTACTATTAGCGAAATAATTATTGCATTTTTGTGTTGGTCAGTGGGTGATGTGTAGGATTTAAACTGGTGAGATCCAGGCCATGGGCTCATTGCACTGAATCTGATAAATCACCCTCTTTTTAATTTTTTTATAATATGGGGAAAAAGCAGTTGCGTATTTCCCACAATGGCACAAAGGAACCAGAAACTATAATGCATTCTGTATATTGAAGAAAATCATATAGGGTATTAATCACAAAGGCATTTGTTTACGGGCTGGGAACTGGAGTACTATTCTGCTGCACTGTCCTATTTTAATGAGCAACACTAAGGATCAGCATTGAGACATCAGAGAAGAACATGCTCCACTTAGTTCCAATGCAAATTCCAAGCACACACATTAATTATGTAAATGTATGCTAATTTTGTGGAAAGTGTAGATGGTTAACTAGTAAGCTTTCAACTTTGCTCACCCAAAGCAGAGAGAATGAACATCTAAGTTAGGAAGACCACCCAAGAGAGGAGAAAAAGGAGAGCGATAGGAGGAGGGTAAGGGAGAGGCAAGTTTATTAGCAGTATTTCTACACTGCCTTTCTATAAAACTCAAAACATGGAAAAGCAAAAGACATATTTCCAGTTACATTACATACTTCACTGACAGTGACTACACAGCTTTTACATCTGCAACTCTTTCCACCATCAACAGTTGGAAGCTTTCTTCCTCTCTGAATATCTAACACATGCTATAAATTAGACCATGTGCTCTTTAGGCACTAGGTAGGTTCACCTACACTCTCAATGACTCCATCCAGGCCCTGGAACTCTCTTCCTAAGATGCTAAACTGGCTGTCTTCATGTTGTTCTTCTTTCAGCATGTAAAGGTGTTTGTTTTTTTAATTCTGACAAGTCTTTGGGAAACAGACTGTTTAATAAACAACTTTTATGTTGGACAGCATTGTTTTTATTTCTTGCCTTCTTGACAAACATGTTTTAACGTATGTAATAATATTAATAATAATAATAATAATAATTAGAGTAGTAGTAGTAGTAATAATAATAATAATAACAACAACAACAACTTTATTTTTGTACCCTGCCTTCATCTCCCCAAAGGAACTCGGGGCGGCTTATACGCGTCTGAGCCTTATCAAGACTGTTAAAATGTAACACAATAAAATACATAACAACAGTGTAAAGCAAAGTAAAACAACAACATTGTAAACAATATAAAACAATATAAAACAGGGTAAAATAATAAATGTAATAATAATAATAATAATAATAATAATAATAATAATGGATATGTAATAATAACAGCAATAATAGAGTAAAATAATAAATGTAATAATAATAATAATAATAATAATAATAAATGTAATAAAAATAATACTAGAGTAGAATCATAGAATCATTGAGTTGGAAGAGACCTCGTGTGCTATCCAGAACAACCCCCTGCCAAGAAGTAGGAAAATTGCTAAAATAATGTAAATGTAATAATAACGCAGAACTCCCATGTTATGTCCGCTTCACTGGTTGTCTGTTTGCTACCAGGCATAATTCAAAGTGCTGGCTTTAGCCTATAAAGCCCTAACGGTCCCAGCCCAGTTTACTTGTCTGAACTTATCTCCCTTGATGAACCACCGTTAAGATCTTCTGGGGAGGCCCTGCTCTCAGTCCCGCCACCATCACAGGCACATTTGGTGGGGACGAGAGAGAGGGCCTTCTCAGTGATTGCCTCTCGGCTATAGAACTCCCTTCCTGGTTGCACAATGGGTTAAACCCTTGTGCTGGCAGGACTGCTGACCGGAAGGTCGTCGGTTCGAATCTGGGGAGCAGGGTGAGCTCCCATCTGTCAGCTTCAGCTTCTCATGTGGGGACATGAGAGAAGCCTCCCACAGGATGGTGAAACATCCGGGTGTCCACTAGGCAACGTCCTTGCAGACGGCCACTTCTCTCACACCAGAAGCAACTTGCAGTTTCTCAAGTTCCTCCTGACATGAAAAAAAACCCCTACTTTTCATGTCACAACTTATAAAGAAATATCATTAGCAAAAAAAGTCTTTAAAATTAGTAATACACCTTGGTTACTATCATGAAGATTTTTAGAAGCATCACTACTTTTCATCGGTGCCCCCAGTGGCACAATGGTTTAAACCCTTGTGCCAGCAGAACTGCTGATTGAAAGGTCGGTGGTTTGAATCTAGGGAGTGGAGTGAGCTCCCATGTGTCAGCTCCAGCTTCTCATGCAGGGACATGAGAGAAGCCTCCCACAGGATGGTAAAACATCCTGGCATTCCCTGGGCAACGTCCTTGCAGACAGCCAATTCTCTCACACCAGAAGCGACTTGCAGTTTCTCAATTTGCTTCTGACATGAAAAAATTACTACTTTTTATGTCACAACTTATAAAGAAAGATCAGCACATTGCATCTCTTCTTTTCATGGAATCATTAGTGCAGCGATTCCCAACTGCCCTTCTGATGTGGCTATATATGCGTCCCTCATCCACTTGCAAGGAAATATCCCAAACATAAGACTTTCATCCTCAAATAAGGGTGTACGACAATTTTAAGTAGATACTGATATGACTAAACACAATGATCCCATCGTCCTCCACAGTCTGCTTTTAAGGGAAAACATCAAAACCTGCAACTACCACAAGTGCATAAGGAAAAGTATGGTGTTTTACCATTCTGCATGACATAAACCACAATAGCACCTGCTGAACTTAAATTTCTGGTAAACATCACCAGGACGATAAAAAAAATTCCAAAGATTGCTAAGTCTGACTGCAAAACTCTGGGAAATGCAAGAAAACTCTTTACAGTATGAAAAGTTGCAATGCTTTGGTAGTACAGTCTCTGCATGATCTCTGCAGACAGCCAAGAAGTCAATGAACAACATATGCTCTACAGAGTCTGGAGTAAAGACATACCTTTAGTAAGTTTACTTATTCTATATTGAATTCCATTTATTGAAAAAAGACAGGAGGAAAATGGCCACACAAATAAATATCTTGAGGCATGCATGCTTTCCCAGGGTGAACAGGTAAAAATGTCAAACATGAGGAAGATTGAGATTTTCTCATTCAGGATTACAGGCATATCTTTTCCTCGATCTTGTTTACCAAAAAGGGTAGAAAAGCGACAAGGCTTTTCCCCCTTTGCCATCAGATTATTATGCAAACCATCAAATTCTTATGCAAATAAACAGCATGGCACAGCAAAAGGCATGCAACCACTGCACTAAGGTACGGTTTACTATAGCCTTACTGCTGGAGAGCTAGTTGAAGAACAGCTATGGCTAAAAATCTGTATGTGTACATTAATTGTCCCATATATGTAGTCTCGTAGTCTGATACAGACAGTCCTTCTTGAAACTTTAATCTAATTTCACAGCATTTACCCAATATTGACCAAGTTAACATATCTGCATATGTAAAGTACATAAGGATCCCAAGTTAATGTTCCCTACTATTTCAACCATGTTTAAGCTAAGGGGAGAAGGCTATGGCTTCATAGAACCCCCTCTCTTATACTTTTACACATTGCACCTGTACGAATGTTAGTAGTAAACCTTTAAACTGTAGTGTACAACCAGCTTCAGATCCCATTTTTAGATGTTAAGTCGTAGTTAGTACTATTATTATTTTTATTATTATTATTTCATATCAAAAGCATTGCATAAATTAGTATAAAACCGCTAAAAATAAAAGGAGTGCAAGTGGCTAAATATCTTTTGACCAAAAATGGGCAACAGCAATGGCATTGTCTGTAGACGCCAACAATTCTTCCTCTGTACTAAAATAATTAAAGCTGCAATCATTGCATTCTCTCCATCACTTAAGTTAACCCCCCGGTGGCGCAGTGGGTTAAGCCCCTGTGCCGGCAGGACTGAAGACTGACAGGTCGCAGGTTCGAATCTGGGGAGAGGCAGATGAGCTCCCTTTATCAGCTCCAGCTCCTCACGCGGGGACATGAGAGAAGCCTCTCACAAGGATGCTAAAAACATCAAATCATCCGGGCATCCCCTGGGCAACGTCCTTGGTGACGGCCAACTCTCTCACACCAGAAGCGACTTGCAGTTTCTCAGGTCGCTCCTGACATGGAAAAAAAATTCAAAAAACTTAAGTGAGGAGGAAACACAATGGCTTAAATTTAATTGTTATTCCCAACTGGAGAAGCCTACTGAATGAACAGAACTTATTTAAACCAGTGGTTTCCAACCTTTTTTTGACTGGCTAAATATTTTTTGACCAAAAACAGGCAACACCGACCACATTGTCTGTAGCTTTAAACAATTCTTCCTCTGTACGTGAGGCAGGACATTGTGGACAAGCATACAGATGCGAGTTGCTTGTTCTGCTCCACAGTCGGACAAGGTGGAGGATTCTTTTAGGCGGTTCCATTTTGTCAGGTTGACTTTTGATCTGCCCGAGTGCACTTCTGAGTCTCTTCAGGGATTTCCAAGTTGCCCATTCTTGGTTTGCCCTGGAGGCAGACCCTCGTGGGGGGCCATCCAATTGGTTTCGCTGCCCAGAGGGATGCTCTTGCTGTTGCTGGGGGACGTTAAAGGGAGTGGTGGTTCTCATGAAGCACTTCCTTGATTTGAGTCTACTAGGAGGAGGCTGATAGCCATGCATTTCCTTATTTCTTTAACAGCAGCAACTTTCTGTCACACATGGGGGGGGAGGGGCGGCAATGCCAGCTAGCTTGTGAAGTTCATCATCTGGTGTAGGTTTGAGACATCCTATGATTATTCTGCATGCTTCGTTCTGGCTGCTCAAATGAAGCTATGTTCACTTACTTTGTGTGGGTAAACTTGTGCCAAACTGGGCAGGCATACTCCTCTCTGAATTAACCCCCAACTTAGTCACCAGTTATATCAAAATCCATTATTTGGGCCAGAAAACCTGCATTTCACTTATCTATGAGGTTGACATACACGAGTATATGTGGTAACTGTGAAATATCACAGCAAATAGAACAAAAAGAGGAGAAATGCACCAAGAACTACACACAGGCAGGAAAAACCAGACAAAGGAAACAGAAATAGAAAGGATAATGTTGACTAAGATGATGAAACTGGAGCATTTTGCACATAAACTCTAATATAGCTTTTAAAAACTATCTTGAATTATTATAGGGTAAACAAGCTTGTTTGTTTCCCTTGCACTTTGCTTCTTTTTCCTGGAGCAACGTAGGCCCCTCATTATCCAAATTTACATTGCTTTAATGAGGTGTGCAGCCTACTCAAGTGAAACATTAGTATAATTATAAAGAACAGGGCTTATTATGAATCTACTCTGTATAGGAAGCATTTGTGGAAGATAATAATGACAGGCTACACTTGGGTGACACATAAACTTTTCATTGTAAAACCTTATACCACTTGCAGTCATTTCTTTGATGATCTGTTGACCTCTCCTTACCAGTTGCTGAATTCATGATATTCTGTTGCACCGGAGGACTTGTGGGAGCTGTAACACTCATCTGGGAAAGGAGGGCCTTCCTTGGATCCTGCCATGTTGTTGTCTGGTCAATGTGACTAAGACAAAACAGAAGGAGGAAGTTAGCCAACACATAAAATATTCCAAGATTACAACAAGCAGTTAGAAAACCAGCCCTAAACAAAAGCCCACACAGAGTAGGTATCAAATAAGTGCCTTCACAAAGTATGGCCTCAATCACTGCAGCCGTGGGAAGTCCAGTTAGCCTATCCAAAGGGGCATTTCTCAGCCCTTAAGTTTCAGCAATAATATCTGCCCACTGAATATACTGCTGAGCTCATTTTCAAACAGAAGACGACTGAAAAATAGCATATGGGTTGGCACAATAGGTTTTGGTGACCTTGTAAACAGGGCAAAATATTTGACACTGCTCTTAGTATTAATTCAATGTCTCATAATATTTTTATGAAGATACATAAAGGGATACAATTCACAATATGCTACCAAAGAGTTTTGTTGTTTATTCGTTCAGTCGCTTCCAACTCTTCGTGACCTCATGGACCAGCCCATGCCAGAGTTCCCTGTTGGCCGTCACCTCCCCCAGCTCCTTCAAGGTCAAGCCAGTCACTTCAAGGCTAACATCCATCCATCTTGCCCTTGGTCGGCCCCTCTTCCTTTTTCCTTCCGTTTTCCCTAGCATCATTATCTTCTCAAAGCTTTCCCGTCTTCTTATTATGTGGCAAAGTACTTCATCTTTGCCTCTAATATCCTTCCCTCCAGTGAGCAGTTGGGCATTATTTCCTGAAGTCTGGACTGGTTTGATCTCACGGTCCAAGGCACTCTCAGAATTTTCCTCCAACACCACAGTTCAAAAGCATCTACCTTCCTTCGCTCAGTCTTCCTTATGGTCCAGCTCTCGCATCCATAGGTTACTACGGGGAATACCATTGCTTTAACTATGCAGACCAAAGAGTAAAACTACATATAAATTTGCATGGTAGTGGCGTCAGTTGGGTTACTAGCTGCTTTGCTTCCAGTTCTCTGAATCTGCTTACTCAGAATTCCAGGAAAAGAAACAGTGGAAATCTGAGAGATCTGGCTGCTGAAATGAAGCAGTTGACATCATTTTTTGGGAAGAAAAGTTGCATCACATGTCATATCATGGGCCAACCTCTGAAGAAAGTGCCAAGAGCAGATGATGTCAGTCCACACTGACATATTAATTTCCTACAGCCAGTTAAACCAACGTGATTTATCAAACTTTGCAGGAATTTTTTTTTAAAAAAAATATATTCCTGGTGACATTATTATGCAGACACAAAACTGTGATCTTCTGGAAAGAAGTTAAATTTGGTACTATTTTTAATCATGTCCATATAAAGTTCAGTAGAAAAACTACTTTCAACATTCCTCAGAAACACAATGAAAAATGTGCTCTTGCTTGCTGCCCTCTTTCAGTTTTTCAGTATTGATAAAAAGGCAGTGCAAATATTACTGAAAATATTGACTTCATTACTTTCCTCCATCAGAATAATTTAAGGGTTAAAGCAACATTAGTGCAAAGTATTCTGTAATGTCTTTGGAGAGAGTAAACGTGTATAAGCATTAGACTACAACTCTGGAAATCAATATTCAGTTTCCTGCTCTGCCATGGAAACTCTCTGGATAATATTAGGCAAGTCATACACTCTCAGCTTCAGAAAACCTTGTGATAAGTGCTGTCTTTGCCACTAGTGGAAGAAGGTTGCCATTTCCAACATTATGTGCCTTCTAACTGTTTTCTAGGCACCTCAAGATCAGTTGGGAGTGAGGAAATAAATCTTTGGGTCACCATAAATCAGAAATGATTTGAAGGCATAGGAGAACGACAAGCATCTTTGAGACTAACTGGAAGAAAGAAGTTGGTAGTCTAAGTTTTTATAGACTAAAGTCTACTCATTGGATGAAAAACTTTATTCTACATAATAGTAATAATCATCATCATCATCATCATCATCATCATCATCTTTATTTGTATCCCACCTCCATCTCCCAAAAAGGGACTCGGGGCGGCTTACAAGGCACTGCATGTGCAGTATAAACATCAACAATACATGAGTATAAAACAATATCACATAAAAGTTATAAACAACCATTATCAACACATAAAAAAACAAAATACACAATTTTTTTTAAAAATTCTATCAATGGTTAAAACTAGCTGCCATCAGTACACAACAATTATTATGAGTCCATCTAATATAGGTCCATTTCAGCCTACTCGAGGCCAAAAGCCTGTTCAAAAACCCATGTTTTTAGGCTAGAACAGAAGGATTCAAGGGTAATGGCTAATCTAATCTCTTTTGGGAGGGTATTTCAGGGCTGGGGAGCCACTACAGAGAAGGCTCTCTCAACCACACTTGAGATGGTGGTGGGACTGAGAGAAGGGCCAGCCCTGCCAATCTCAAAGCCCATTCTGGTTCGTAGAAAGAGATGTGGTCTTGAAGATTGGTTGGACATGAAGCGTATAGAGCTTTGTAGGTAATGCACTTTGAATTCAGTCCGGAAAAATGTCGGAAGCCAGTGAAGCTGCTTTAATAGGGGTGTATCCCTACAGCTAGCTTCAGTTAGTAATCTAGCAACCAACTTTTGCACTAATTGCAATTTCCGAACCGTCTTCAAAGGCAGCCCCATGTAGAGAGCATTACAATAGTCCATTCTAGATGTAACTAAGGCATGAACCATCGTGGCCAAGTCTGAATAACTGAGTATGTTATAAACTTCTTTTAGTTAATCTGAAAGATGCTAAAAGATCCTTTTGCATACTGATCCAGATGGACACAACTACTTCTTTGATGGCGTTAATGCATATTTATGGAAAGCATCAACAATTAGTCCCAGATCCTACCATAGTCAAATTAATAATATTAGGTTGTCAGGTTCATGCTGTTTACAAAGAGTTGAACCCTTAGTTCTTTAGTACAGAGTGTGTTCATCAGAAGTGTGTCTCTGGCTCTTAATTCAGTTTGCATCTCATGTTACAGCGTCTATAATCACCTTCTTTTCCAAGCAAGAGAAATATAAATACTGAGAGGTAAGCTGTTTATGACCTGGGGATCAGTAGTAAGTCTTACCACAGTACACGTGAAATACAACAGGTATACAGCCTTAAAAATACTAGAAAAGAGGAGCAGAAAGGAAATCTGAAGGAAGAAATGTCAAGATAGTCTATCAGTATTTTTTTACCTTATGGGAAACTGACAATATTATAACTAGAATGTAAATTCAAACCTTAAAATATTTTTTGGCAACAATAATTTTGGTCCAATTAGAGCATCCTTCTGAGTAACAAAAGCATGCAAAGATCACATACTGCAATATATATCCACATCTCTGGCAAAAAAAGAAAAGAGAACAAACAATCCTGAAAAGTCTTATTAATACGATCAGAAAATGGCAGATTGCCACAGTCAAGGGTTTCAACACAACAAGCACCAATTGCTAGAACTCTGATTAACCCCATATAACGCTCACATTTCCTAAACGGCATTAAAATGTTATTTGAATCCCAACATTTTAGGACTTAATGAAATTAGAGACAACAAAGAAAACATTGTTGAAATACAATATTTTAAAATTATAACGGATACACTTATACCTGTTCTGCCTTCACTATATTGACAAAGAAGCCTCACAACTTCAAACAAGTTGAAACTTTCTTATACTGTAGCTGCTCAATAGCATTATGTTTTGGAAAACCAGAATCTTGCCTAACCTTCTGGGGAAAAAAATGGCATTCACAATCATTTGAAAATCACAACCTTTTGTAAAATTATGATCTTCCAGAGAAGAGCTGAAAACTCGTTTGAGTAAAATCTTCTCTTCAGTGGTATATAACCACATGTACGTATTTATGCAAGGAAATTTGGTTTTCAGTTGTTAGACTGATAATCTAGTTGTCTCTGATCTGTTAGGAACAGAGATAATGCCAATGCACAAAACATAGCAGTTATTCAGAAGTGATCTTTTCAGTGCCCAAAAGCATCTACTCTCCCATAAAACGTCTTGTGTCAATATCACGCTCTCAATAGACAAAAATAAAGTAGACTTCGTTAAAAGCAACATTTTTCTCTGTGCAGATATTACAGAGCATCTTTCTTATAGTCAACATGAATGTGCTTTTATCAGTCCAAAGTCTAATAGTGTCTCTGTGTTCTAAAATGGAGTCTGACATCTGAGTAGTCCCAGATCTGATCATGTGGTCTGCAGTCCCTCCCACAATCTCAAGAAACATAGAGTAAAGGGAAAGCTGCATACCAAAACATACACAAGCAAACAGGATCACAACAAATTACTAGTGGAGGCTTGTTGCCACTAGTGGAAGAAGGTTGCCATTTCCAACATTATGTGCCTTCTAACTGTTTTCTAGGCACCTCAAGATCAGTTGGGAGTGAGGAAATAAATCTTTAAAAGTAGTGTTAATATAAGTAAATGGAATGACAAACTGGGTCAATTCATGTTCAGATCTGATGTCACCATCTCTTACCAATAAGTCACAATTAACACATTCATTTTTTGACTTGCTCTATTCGTGATGTCCAAATTGAATGACTCTAGTGTGCAAAGCTACTGAAAGTCACAGTTTAGAAGTCAATGCCAGAGCAGCCTGCATAATTCAGACATCACAGTCATAAACCAGGAAAACAATGGAGAGGCAAGAAATCCCGAATCCTCTCAAGCATGTTTCACAGGAGTGAAATAAAACATCTGAGCCAAACCAGCATGGAAGAATATCACTTATTTCCACCTCAAAATATTTCTACATGTCACAGAAGGTAAAATTTAGATCAGGAAGAAATTCCACTACCAAAGTGAACTGTCTAAAATAATTCTGACCAATACTCTCATTGTCACCTTACAATGAGATGTTTTAGTAGTAGTAGTAGTAATAATAATAATAATAACTACTTTATTTATATTCCGTTCTATCTCCCAGAGGGGACTAAGAGTGGATTACAGGGTACATATATGACAAACATTCAATGCCGCTACACAACTGACAACAACAGACAGTACATAAACAGAGGCAAAGCTCCCCTCTTTTTTCATCTCCGGCATC